CCCCAAAACCCCAAAACCCCTTGATTACTAAAAGATAATTAAATGCAAGATTAGAAAAAAAATTCATTTTATTATTTCAAGAAATATATAGCATGAGCCATTAGCATTAAAATTCTTACCCCTAAAAGGCTATCATACAAAGCTAAGAAAATTTTAATAATTGTTAAGGTTCTCAAGCCAAATTAAATCTTTAATAGAACTCTGAATAAACTAAAGTTAATAATCCCTAAGGAATAACTCAATAATAGTAAAATGCATAGCAATAATAATTTATGTAAATGCCTTTCGTATTTACTCCTTAAATGATTGAACATTTCTAAAAATTATGCTAGATGTATGGTCCTGCAATGGCTTACTAACAAATGAATTTGATAATGAGGAACTAATAGTTAGGCTCATTGCAGCAGCAAAACTCAAATACTCCAAATGCAAATTAAAACTTGATGTTTGCAAATCCATTCCTTTTAAGTTAAATGAGTTTTATGCCCCAACCTAATTTTCCAAAATAAAAATTAGTTGGATCTCCTAATAAGGCTGATAAAAGCCATTCATCAAATAAATCTTACAAGAGCTTCAATAATAGCTTTAAGAACGAGAGAGTTCAGAATTTTAACAAAATTTAAGACTCAATTTCTTCATCCTAATCAAGATCAAGATTGGGATCAAGTTCATGATCAAACTCGAAATCTATTTCAAGCAAAAAATCATCTGAGAAATCAAGAACAGTTAGTAGAAAGAGATAAATTAGCAAAAGCTCTTCAAGATCTTAGTAAAGTAAGAAATTATCTCAGAAGGATTCTTATAAAGCCAATCATAAACAGCACTAACCTTCAAGGTCTACATCTTCTCATAAGAAACCCAAATTATCTTGATAATCACCTTTGGACTAATATGAAAGATGCCGAAGAGATCAAGTAAAAATCAAAACTGAGAGCTCCAAAACTTCTGTTAAGAAGTACTATCCAGATAAAAACAAAGCAAGCAGCAGTAAATATTAGGAATATGATAGGATTGATAGGAAAAGAGATTAGAAGTATTATAAAAAAGAGAAAATAAGAGATATCTATAAGGAGTCTTATCATAGATAATCTAGATATTATAAATAGAGGAAAAACATGGAAAATTATTATAAAAATTAACGATCAAGAACCAGAAGTAGAAGTTATAGTAGAGATAGGAAATCAAAAAGAAAAATTGGGGTTACAGAATTAAAAATTTAAAAAGTGTCCAAATATGAGATAAAAACTGAAGAAAAAGAAATCGAGTTAAAGATTGAAAGAAAAAGTAATTAGGAGTCTAGTATATCTCAGTCTTAGGAACTTAAACTAAATGGTAGGTTAACCTATTAGGAATATCTTTAGAAAATGAAAGATAAATAAAAGATGAAGGACTCAGATAAAAAGAATAAAAAAAGTTACTAAGTAAGAGAATTTTAAGAATAGCAGAAAGTTGATTGTAATCCTTAAAAGGAAATACCAAATGCATAATTATAGAAACCAATTTAATAAGAGCAAAAAGTAAATGAATGCAAACAAAATAGTAAACCAGACAGTGGTTAAAATGATATATCTGTAACTGATTAATTTAAGAAAATTAAAAATTTCGATAATCCTTTCAAGTAATCCTAAAAGTGGTCTTTTACTTTTGAACATTCCCCTAAAAATTAAAATGAACTTCAATCATAAATAAAGTCTGAACTCTAAGACAAAATAGGTTAGTATTTATCGCCTTCAATGACTATGGAATCAACAGAAATTATCAATACTATCACCTAGTAAGTTCCGATAATAGGAGATATCTAAGGTATTGCAAAGCATATTGAAGAGAAAATTGATAAAAATACCTTTTCCAATAATGAAATACCATAAGATACTAAACCTGAAAG